CAGACGTTCTAATCCCAGTTTTCATTGCTACTATCAGTTCTAACCCCGGTTTTCATTTGTAGTATGACCAAAATAGAGAACAACACTGTGTAACGCATGTTAACAACAACAATCTCTTTGTCTCCCCACAATGCTCACTAATTTGCTTACACTGAAACTACATGTGGAGGAAACAACAGTACGTACCAACCCAACTAACAAAACTAACGAAACTAACCAAACCACCATGGCGGGGGCTTGTTGCCGCGTTGAATTGTTCCGGGCTTGTTGCTGSGTTGAATCATTCCTGCGTTGTGTTGAATCGACATTGCGTTTAATCTGTTGAATTGGCGCGTTGAATTGACATTGAGTTTAATTGGTCTGTAATGAATCTAACAGGCTCTTYTTTTCTGTTCAGTGTGACCATGGGAATTATTCAAAGAATGCATTGTTTCCAACTGGAGACACCTTCCTCCCTGCATGGAAGTATCCAGCAGCAAGATTCTGAAGTTCATGTGGCTTGTCCATTGCCTTGCAGGTCGCCGACGCCAGCAGTGTCTTCATGAAGACTGTCAAGATCTGGTTGTGCCAAATGGTACTGCATTGGTAGTTGTACAAGCTGATCATCAAGTGAATGATGATATTCCTCTCCCCAAAGTCCTCCAATCTAAGCCTATCCTTCATCCTTGGGAACTGTCCTTGGATCATTCTCATCCCCCACTTTGACATCTGCCTAAGTGATGTGGTGTCCCTATTTAYTAGGAGCATATTTCCATCCTCTGGATCATTCTGAGAGCTTTGAATCAGATAGTCTCTGCCCAACAAGCCAAAAACTCAATCAACAACACACTTTGCTCTTCCAGCACAAGCGCTGTTCACTTGGGCAAGCTTGTCATAGACTCCATAGTCACTGATGGAGCTGTCATGCCATGTGCCAGGGCAATTGAAGACTCCAATGCAAATCCTACCATCAGGTGCAAAGACAAACACCCCATTCACGTAAGTATTTGCCTTCCATCCATTGAAGAAGACCTCTTGTTTGAGCCAGTCCTCTGAGGTCTGGATCTCTGTCTTGAGCCCATCTGCTGCTGCCCAGATGCGTTGTTCTCCAAGTCTTGGATATTTTGCTCTAATTGCCCTAACATACTCATTGGTTTCTTGCTCACTTGGCAGACTGACCATGGCAAGTGGATGGTTGTGGAGCACTGATAAGAGGATCCTCATGGAGAACTTGAGCCATTTGTACATTCAGTCGATGTAAGACCAAATGCCATAGCTATTCCCCTTGCAACAGATCCTCTAGTCCTGTACCAGAAGAGCACTAGTCCAAGACAACAAGTTGCGTCGGCCTCTCTTGGCTTTCCCTTCTTCTTTCCATTGCCAGTGGGTGGAGGAAGAAGAACAATCTCATTGCTCTTGTTGACTGAATATCTGTTGAAAGCTGGAGCAAACAGCTCAAGGAGATCCCTGAAGACCTTGCGGTCCACACCACAACAGTTGAGGAGTGCTTGGTCACACCCTGAGTGAAAGAGGAAGACAAAGGGGGAGTCAGCGTACCTACGAATTGCAAGCYGGGGGGTTCTCCTGTCCCTCCTGCGTCTCTCCTCTGGAATCTTTTGTTGCTCTTCCCATTCCTCTACCAAGCGACCTCTATGCTTGATGGCCCAGTATATGCAAAGGATCTCAATTACACCCATTATGTCTCTTTTGTTTGTTGGGAGGAAACTCTTGTCTTTTGTTTAGGGAACAG